ATATCGGGTTGGAAAGGTAGTAATTTCCGTTTTTAGTGTGAAATATATTTCCATTTTTCCTAAACAAAAACGAGCTTTAATCAGTCCCATATCTTATATTCCGTTTCATGACATTTCGCCATGTTTTTGGTGACTTCATGATTCCGCGCTCATAGAACTTTTGTTTTTTAGCAACAAAAAACTTAACCATGTGCGATTTAATATTATTCTTAATCCTGGAATTTTTATCAGTTAATAAATTGTACAAACTTCGAAATAAACGATAATCCGACGGTACAAGGTCGGGGCTATATGGGGGATGGGAAATAACTTCCCAGCCAAAATCCAGTAATTTCGTACTTGTTGATAAGGATGTGTGAGGCTTCGTATGTTCGTGGTGGAACACGATTCATTTGCGATTTGCCAATTCTGGTCTTTTCTATTTGATTGTTTCCCATAATTTCATAAGTTGTTGGCAGTAAATATATGAGCTGATCGTAAGCAAAGTAGCTCGGAATACACAACACCTTTGTAATTCTACCAAAATGACAGCATGAACGTTTCCTGATGCAATTTAGATTTTGGTATAATTTGTGCTGATTAATCATGTTTGGACCATGATCTTTTCCGATTTGTTATCATACATGATATATTTTTCATCACCAGTTATAATTCATTTCAAAAAAGAGTCGATTGCATTAGTTTAAAATGCGTATCGCAGATATTCATCCTGCTGTGTTAAGCGAATTTCTTTGAATTCATGCGGAACCTAAACATCAAGGTTTTTAACAAGTCCAAGACGTTTTATGTGATTTTCAGTTATTGTGTGTGAAACATCTAAACCTTTCTGCAATTTCCCGCATAGTTACATAACAATTCGATTCAATTATGGCTTTAATTTTGTCATCATCAGCGTCAGAAAATCGACGAGAATGTTAGTCACCTTCAAGGCGAAAATCTCCAGAATGAAATTTTGTAAACCAATTCTGACTCATGCATTCTGTTAATCAATCATTATCATAAACTTAACATTGCGAGCCTCAGTTTCTTTCTTGCTTTTATGAAGGTAAAAAATTTGATGTGGACACTACATGACTTCCAAATATGGTCTATAAAATTAGACAAAATTTTTGCTGCTTTAAATTTCTTTCCTCGAATTTCATTAGTGGTATATTTCTAATTCAATTAATTCAATGTTCACTTCGCAGCTACTTAAAACTATATATAAACACTGAAACTTCATTAAAAATTTCAAAATGCAGAAAAACTAAAATTTCATTAAAAGCTGCAAAATACAGAATACATAGAACATCAAGTACAGTTAAAAACATTTAAAAAACAATTTTTGCAATTAACATTAGAGTTGATAGGTAACAAACAAGCAATAAGGCCAGCGGGCAGGAAGCAAATTTTTCAATGCAGAAAACTGAAAGTTAACATTTGGTCATATTGGACAAAAGGACACTGAAGTTGGGGCAGCAACTGATTTAATTTTCTCTTTAGCTAAGATTTCCAAATGTAAGCAAATAGCGGCCTCCTTAGTCTTAGCGGCACTGAAACTTTTAAATTATTGATAATTCTACAGCTACTGCCTGCAGATTAACTAAAGTCGTGAAACCTTAGCTGGAACATAGGAAAACATATTTCAATCCCTTTTAAAGCAAATAATGCCCAGTTTAACAACATATAAGAATAAAAACTGGACTCACCGAGCCGGGTAACAGTGTCGCAATATATATATGTTTGGGTGCTGCCGATTGCCACGAAAAACGGATAGCTACATGTTGTGCAAGTACCATATACAAAATTTCAGCGTTCTACGACTACTCGTGTTTGAGCTATGCGAGATACATACATACACGTACGGACGGACTCGTGAAAAAAAAATCTCTTCTGAATCTATTTTAAATTAATTTTACAATTCGTTTTGGAAAAAAAAAAAAAAAAAAAAAGAGTCCACTTTTTTGTCGGTAAAATCATCTTTTAAATAGATTCCAGAGCGGTCAAAATGGATATTTTCGTTGAAATATGGCACCCGAAATTTTTCGTGATTACAATACTACGTACAAGGAAGTAAAATGTAAGACATGTCGAAAATGTTTATTTTTGGACTCCGTATTAACATTTAACGTAAACTTAGGATTTTAAATAAAAATAAACGGAATTTCTTTCTATAGCAACCTAAAAATGTTAGTTACCAAATCTCAAAAGAAAATATATATATATAAGTTTGACAGAAGAATGAAAAAAGAAACCATAGCACTATCTGTTTGCACAAACCGCAAATGCTGTCTTGCTTATCTAATAACTAAGAGATGTAAATATTCGAGACTTAATTCATGGTGAAAGTATATTTTTCAGCACAGAATATTTGATAAACTGAATTCCTGATTACTTCTTTTTAAAAGCATACTGAGTATAATATTTAAAACTTACACAGGCCTGAAATATACATATACAGGCCTGAAAGGTTACTGCATTCATGGGGGCGCAGCTGAATTAATTTTTACAGTTTTTTAACTGTAAAATCCTAATAATTTTCTAATACTTTTAGTACACTCTTAAAGCAATATTATGGTTTTCTAATATAATTCAAATATTTGTATCTCTGATGATATCTAATATATGACTTAGTTAAGAGCGTCTTTTAAAATTTATTATGTATGATGCTTAACTAATTAATTATTGACTACACAATAACGGCCTTCTGGTTAACTTTAACATGATAAAAACCGCAGTCATCTTTTTTCGTTGATAACATGCTTGTATGTACAAAACAATTACATGAGAATATAAATTTCATGTTCTATTTCACCATATATATACACTGCTGAAAAAAAATATAGGACAGTTCTATATCTCCCGTTCTACTAGGCCGATTAACTAAATTCAACTTGCGTTTTTCATGTCTCGAAAAGCGTGACTTAGGATATTTATTAGATTTATATATAACATTGTTCTAATATAGGTATTTTAAACACAAAATAGGACAATCGGACTTTTCACAAATAACATACCATTTTTTTTTCCATATTTCAATTCTACTACTCAAATTACTCCAAACTACCACGTTTTCTAAAAATCGCACGAATAGTTTTTAAAATGTTAGCTCAAAATTTTAACTCATCAGCGTTAATTGAGTTTGGTATATATTTATTAATCTCTCTTTTTTATTAAACTTATCTGATTCTTCCAATCACATTTCGAAATACAGGTTCATTCCAAATAAAATTCACCAATTTTTTTATGATTTATTTTAAAAATTTGTATTTTTAAATAATTGTTATACATTTTTCAGAAAAATTGAATTATAATCTATAAAATTTTTGCCATCATTTTAAAGTTAGATGTATGTCTAAGCATACCTAAAAATTTCAGTTTTTTATTCAAAATTTCCGAAGGTATACGCGAATTTATACATTGGCGCGTTTTGAAATGTGGCATATTTGTTGAAAGCGACAAAACAACAAATGTGTTTTAGACATTTTGCTAAAATTATTTGAAAGTAGGAAAGACGTGACTTTTTTCCGCACTTGCAAAACAATGTAAAATGGTAGGAAGCCGGTGCTTTTCGTTTCTCTCTGGCATAATGGAAAGGAAAGGAAAATTGATTGCGATATATTAAGAAGTTCGCCAAGTGGATTATTCTTGGCGCAAACTGAAAAAAATTGCGGCAAGATAAATCACCGAATTTCTCCGTAAATTTCGCAACAAATTTTGCAACCTAGGCATAATTTGAATCGTAGAATCAAAATATGGGAAAAAATCGGTATGTTATTTAAGAAAAAGTCCGATTTTGTGTCAAAATACGTATGTAAGAACAATGCTATATAAAAATCTAATATATATCATAAGTCGAGCTTTCGAGACATGAGAAACGCAATTCGAATTCTGTCAATTGGCCCAGTTGAACAGGACTGTTGTATCTCTCAATAGAATTCTAAAAGGTAAAAAGAAATCTCTTACCTTTTCTTTCACCCGGGAGCCGAGCTTGTTCCATTCTAATTCTTATTCGATGAAATATCTAAATAATTCCAAGCTTTTGCATAAAAACTGACACTTCTGTATAAATAAACAGATATTTCAGATATTTAGATACAGTTTTATATACAATTATTAGATTACATGAAAAATTACGCGCTCTCCCTCCAGCTAACAGTCAATCGAGTTCGGATTCAGAGTTCTAACTACGTTCTTCTTCCGTAGGATTATTCTCGAGGTTTAGATGTAATGGTGCTGATAGTTCCGGAGTTTAGATGTGGAGGCGCTGATAGTTCGGAGTTTAGATGTAACATCTCCTCCCACCATTGAGATCCGACGATGCGGAGGAACTCAATACACACAGGTCCAGTCGATGAGGAAGCCGAACAACTCGTCCAGCTCTGGTCATCACTCGAGGACTTAAACAGGTTCTGGAATACTAGCAGCCTGATCAGCCTGACCAGTTGCATGGTCGTTTCTATCTCGAGGTGCTCTGTCGGGGAACGGAGGGCCAACGGATTCGGAAGTAGAGATCTCCAACGGGAAAAGCCGGGGCACTGGACGAAGCAGAATTCCATTTCTTGTCTTGACCCTCGCTAGTCTAACTATTCCGTCTTTTACTGGGGAAAAGCTCGACTATCTTGGCTAAAGGCCAATGTATGCGTCGTCTCTGGCTGTCTTCCAATAGAACGACATCGCCTACTTGCAACTGTTGAAATTTTCCCTTCTTTATTGCCTGTTTGTCTCAACTGACCAAAGATATTCATTACGAAATCTGTTTCGTAGATCATGTCTTATTCTCTGTCGGTATTTGGCTCGACGGTTTAGTTCTTTGGAATCTACGTAGTCCATATCAGGAACTCCAGATGACGGCAATTCTTGCAGAAACATCATAGGGGTCAGTGGTGATGGATCTTGATTATCCTCTGATACATATGTGATAGGTCGCGAATTAATCACTTGTTCACAGTCACATAATATAGTGTATAATTCTTCATAATTTAAGGACGTTCGACCTAACACTCTTCTTAAATTTTCTTTCACCATTCGCACAAGCCTCTCCCACCAACCTCCCCACCAGGCGGCGGTCGGAGGGTTGAACTTCCATCGTATCCTTTGGATAGAAGCAGCTGAACATATGGCGTTTCTTTAACTTTCTTAAGAACACTGTTAGTCCCTACAAAATTAGTTCCGTTGTCGGAATATATCACATAAGGTCTACCTCTTCTGGCAATGAATCTACGTAAAGATTGGATGAAAGTTTCTGTAGATAGAGAAGTAACTAGTTCGAGGTGAATGGCTCTATAAATGGCACATGTATACAAGACTATCCACGCTTTAGACCCCTCACGGAGATAGAGAGGACCCGCTAGATCTACACCGACGACTTCAAAAGTCGCCCCTTCTCTGACTCGATCTTCGGGTGGAAATCCTGGCTCGACTTCCACTCTTTGTGAAACAAATCTTTTACATCTTACACATTTTCTGATAATATTTCGAATACTTTTTCTGGATTTTAATATCCAAAAGTTTTCTCTAAGATTTGTCATCAAAGTGCTGACACCAGCATGCTGGAGTTCTAGATGTTTCTCGTAAATTAGTCTCTCAACAAGAAGGTGTTTTGAAGGTAAAATAATAGGATATCGGAAATTTTCATTATCTTGACGCTGTAGGACGTTCGTTTTGGCTCTTAAAATTCCATTTTGGTCTACGATTGGTCTCAGCGCACGAATAGCGGGATCGTTTATGCTTGTAAATGATTCTTTCTGTACCAATCTACAAAGTGCCTTTTCAGCATTCTCCAATTCATCAACTGAGACATCAGGAGTAAGGTTTTTATCTTTGTTCTTTAAATTGTGATAAAACCTGAAAATCCAAGCGATCATCCTTATGGTTTTTCTATATGAAGAGAAGTATTTGTAGTACCGGTCCAAATTGTCTCCATGATCTAGAAGAGTCAGAATCGTTTTCCTTTTTTCCTTGTTTATAAGTTCTTCATCAGGCTTTTCTTCTACATGGGGCCACTCGTCTTCTGGTAAGTAAAGCCACGATGGGCCCTCCCACCATGCCGATTTCTGTAATTGCTCAATAGTACATCCTCTCGATGGGAGATCTTCTGGGTTTAAACTTCCAGGTACATGCCTCCAGTCAGATATTCTGGTAAGCGATCTTATTTCTTGTACTCGATTGTGAACAAACGTACCCCATGCTTGATCCCTTCTTATCCACCCCAAAGCTGTAGAAGAATCACTCCAGAAACACTGTTCTCTACAATTCTTAAGTTTCAAATCTGATAGAATTGTTTTGGCAAGCCTGGCAACCTATCAGACAGGAAAGAAGTTCAAGCCGTGGAATCGTAAGTTCCTTAATAGGGGCTATTCGACTTCTCGCACTTACTAACTGAACCTTTACACCTTCGATGGTTTCAGCTCTTAAAAATGCACATGTGGCATAGGCTCTTTTACTAGCATCCGAAAAAACGTGGAGCACTACGGTATCTTCGTTTTCGTAATCAATATTTAACCAACGAGGAATTTCAATCTGAGATAGCAGAGGCAATTGGTTTAACCAAGTCCCAAACTGCTCACTTAGGGGAAGAGGAAGATCTTCATCCCACTTAATCTTTTCGTTCCATGTTTCTTGCTTGCAAATTAGCTTAGGAATTACAGTTATCGGTGCAGTAAAGCCAATGGGATCAAAAAATTTTCTGGGTAATTGACAAAACTTTTCTTTTGGTAATAGGTTCCCTCAAGTTAAATGTTTTCTTCTTCGATCTTGCAACTCAAACTATCTTTTTCTAAATCCCATACTAATCCTAATACTGGGACAACTTTCGTCTTGCTCTCTATCTCATCGATCATGTCAATGCGAAAATTTGATCGCCAACATCTCAAATTGAAATGCCCTGAAGCCAAAATCAATCTTGCTTCTTAAACGAAATTTTCGGCTTCATCTACTTTATTGATTTTAAGCTAATTAACGAATTATCGAGGTAAAATGAATCCTTTCAAAATATTAGAAGTTTCTACAAACTTTTTTGGGACTGTAGTCAAAAGGTGACTAAGTGTAGCGGCTAGCAGAAACGGACTTGATGTGAGTCCAAAAACAACTCGGTTATGTCTGTAAATTTTAAACTTATGTTGATTATCGAACCATAGAAACCTTAAAAAATCTCTATCCTTTTCTGCTATTTTGATTTGACAAAAGGCCTTTTCGATGTCAGATGACACTCCTATGCGATATTTTCGAAAACGATTCAATATACGTGGAATAATTTCTATTAAATTTGGTCCTTTACTCAAACAATCATTGAGAGAGGGTGAATTCTTCTTAGAACGTGCAGATGCATTGAAAACAGGCCGTATCTTTTGTAGTTTCACTAGACTCTCTTTATTACAGGTCTGTGTGACAAGTAGTGCACTCCTTCCTCCTTTTCCTCAGTTACTACCTCAATAATGTCCTTCACTTCCCACTCATCAAATATTTCTGTCGTAATCTTTTCTTCTGCGTGTGTTAATTAGTTTACTTTCGGTTTTGAAGAGGTGTCTTTCTGCCATAGTAACGCAGTTACTGGATAAGACGGATTTATCTAAAATAAAGGGTAAGGGTTACTCCATATCTCCCTGAGCTATCTCGTTTTACACTTTTTAAGAAGTGTTTTCGGGTTTCTTCTTCCAAGACACTTTTCGTTTTGTTTTCCTCCACTTGAAATCCCCAAGGTGTCTAAATGCCAAAGATTGGACGAATTTGTATCGGAAACATGTAAAGGATAAAGAAAGAACGGACAAGGAACTCGACGTATTCGCATTCTTCTTTAATCTTGCCCATTAAAGTCCATTAAAGTCCAGCCTAACTTGGTCTCAAAGGCTACGTAATCCCCCGCAAAATGTTCAATTCTTTCAGTGAACAATTGTGCTGCGGTCCGCTCCTAACAGCATATGAATCTCTTCCGGATTTTCTTGAACAGACAGAGATTTCCATTCACATGATTGTCGTTGATAAGGATTCCCCTTTTTTTCCATCACTTTAATTAATTTTTCGTCTTTGATCTTAGGTAGTGACGAACAAATTTTCCTCTGGTCTAGTGCTTTGATTTTACACCTTTACTTTCCATCTAAACTAGTTAAATCTATTTGATAACGATTATGATCTTCCAAAACTTCCAACCTCCAAATAACCCATGTTTAATTCCGTCAGTTCCTATCTTTTCTAATTTCAGCGTTTTACCAGCATATTGACTTATGTACGTGCTCTGACTTCCGATATCTATTAGCAGTCTTAAATAACCCTTTAAGGTTTTCCTAGCTACCCCTATGACCAAAGTTTGTAAATAAACTTCAGAACAGTTGCTTTGATTCGAAAAGTACTTTATTTTCAACTTCCTGGACAGTTTTTGATCGTTCCTTTTTTTACTCTCGGAATTAATTCTTTTACACATAATCGTAGAATGGTTAGAGTGACAATGTTAGAATGTTAGAAATGTTAGAATCACAAGATTTGCTGTTGTGACCCTTATTTTGTAAACCTAAAACAAGTGCCATTTTTGCGTAGTATTTCAACCTTTTCGTCATTTGTTACTTTCTGGGCAATAGGACATGTATGGCTTGAATGGGAAAAATCTCCGCAAAAAAATGCATGCCTTAATCAATTTTCTTTAATACCCGTAGACACTAAATCAGAAGCAGAAGAAGCTTTTGTTTCCAATTTATTGCTCTTTCCATCGCTGAAATGACGAGTATTTATTTTCTGGACTGCATACGCAGACTGGCAGCGCCTACTATTTGCTGTAGAATGCTCTGAATTCTTATTTATGACTTCCGCCCTTTCGCGTGAATCTAAACATTGAGCTATAATCAAGCACAGGCTTTTAATATTGCAATACGCACTGCCATTACTCATTCTGTTAATCTCAAGCAAAATATTTTGGGGAAGTGATTTCAGAAATATTGGACATAACACACTTGATAAATTCTCGAGAGTCTGACCCAAATTTTGTAAACATCTTAATTCGACAGAAATATTATCATAAAATTTTCTAAAGGCGCGAACATCATTCGAAGATTTTCAACGGTTTAGTGTTCAAAATGTTATTTATGTGAGTGTAAATGAGCACATCTGTTTTTCGCAAATCTTTCTTTTAGAAGATCAATTGCGGAATCGTAATTAGCAGCAGTAATCGGTAATCCTTCGACTGTATTTAAAGCAGAACCACCTAAATGAGCTTTCAAATAATTAAATTTGTCTATTTTATCTAATGAATCATTTTTATGAATGGCAGACTCGAAAACTGTTCCAAAAGGTTAGCCAGTTGTTTTATATCTCCGTAGAATTTCATTAAAGTTAACTTAGGTAATTTAATTCGAACAGACTCGTTATGTTTTGGTTCTCTTTGACTATCAGTACTGAACTGGTTATTAACTACCGTTTCAGTAGATTTGCGTTTTAAATTCGTCGATTCTTTTGGAGGTACGGAAACTGCATTTAACGACCTTTTGACGATATTCTTCTTCAGATTTTTGGAATTCAGCATCAAATTCTCGACTTTAAAAAGAGGTTCTAATTCTGTATCGACACTTTTAAGCGATTCGAAATTATTCTTTATATTTCTAAATTTTCTTCCAAATCATGGATTTTCAGATCAATTTCCGAAAGCTGCGATTCCAAATCTTTAAGCGAGTTTCGGTTACTGAATGTTCGGAGAGCTGCGCGCTTCTTTTTTAACTTATTTAAAATCTCTTCAGACATGTTCTTAACAGTTCAAAAATTCAAAAAAGTAATCAATAATTGTATTCTAAATCTATTATTGTCTTAATTTAAATTCTTATTCTTAGCTCGGGCGTCCCGGCAGGGATGCCAAAATTTGTGTTGTATCTCTCAATAGAATTCTAAAAGGTAAAAAGAAATCTCTTACCTTTTCTTTCACCCGGGAGCCGAGCTTGTTCCATTCTAATTCTTATTCGATGAAATATCTAAATAATTCCAAGCTTTTGCATAAAAACTGACACTTCTGTATAAATAAAGATATATATTTTAGATACAGTTATATACAATTATTAGATTACATGAAATTACGCGCTCTCCAGCTAACAGTCAATCGAGTTCGGATTCAAGTTCTAACTACGTTCTTCCGTAGGATTATTCTCGAGTTTAGATGTAATGGTGCTGATAGGTTCAGAGTTTAGAGGTGGAGGCGCTGATAGTTCGGAGTTTAGATTAACAAGGACATTATATATAGAACTGTCCCATTTTCGCAGTTTACTTGTTCTCAGACTTTGTTAACACCTGTTATTGAATAAAAATGGTGCTATTGAATTCATAAAATAAAATACATTTTATGCCAATGATTTAAATTTCTGGTTAAGAAGCTTAATTTGAAAGATACATTCATTTAAATACAGAGCTTTTACTTCTGTTTGGTTGATATGATTTGAAATTTGATGCCTTTTCATTATATATGAGTATGTTTATAATACATGTAAAAGAGTAAGCTTTGTTAAACTCTTTTTAACCAGTGATTCAATTTTGTACGATTATTTAGTGGTTCATGATATTTAACTTCATTATTTGAATACTAACAGATAGTTTTATGTGTTATTATCTTGCAATTTATGTTGGAATTTTGAGGAAAAGTATCTGTTTAAGGATAATTAGTTTAAAAAAAAAAGGAATATTTCAGCGAATTTAATTTACGCCAATTTGGTTAATAAAATTCCAGTTAGAGAGAAGGCTGAAAATATTACAATTAGTGTTGCTGATCTGAAAAGAACATACAGACATCAATATTCTCAAGTACTGAAATTCTTCTAGGTCCAAGAAATTAAGGGGGCTCCTACATCATAAACCCTTATGAGCTTCAAATTAGGACTGTTGCACAAGCTGAGATATTTTATTTATTTAAATGTAATTGCCCCTCCAACCTTTTACAGCTGACTACACAATATAGCTGCTCTTTGGAACTAGTAACCAGAAAGTTTGTGTTGCCACAATATTTTGTAATTTAATCAGCTTTGGGACAACAATTTTTCGTCATTTTTTCACATTGCGCGCATGATATCTTAAAAATGCTATTGGTACATATTTGAAATTGGATGGAATTCTTTATATGGGCACTATTTTCTAACTGAAGCAAAAATATTATAAATTTTTAATATTAAAAATTTTTGCATGAAATCATTACAGATCTTTTTACTAAAGTACATTTTTACATTTTATAAACTGAACTCCAAATAAAATAAAAATTTAATATGAAATTCTCAGATTTTTTGGTTTACAGTAGTTTCCAAATGTTATAAAAGCGCTATATAATCTATGGAATTAAATAATGCAAAAGATAATTTTAAACTGTGCGCGCAATGTGAAAACATGACGAAAATTTTTGTCACAAAGCGGATTAAATTATTAAAATATTTGTGGCAACACAAACTTTCTGATTACGATTTCAGAAAGCAGCTATATTATGTAGTCAGCCATAAAAAGGTGGAAGTAATTGCTTTTAAAATAAATAAATTATCCCAATTCTTGCAACAGTCACATATTCCAAGATCATAAGGGGTTTAAGGTGTATGAGCCCCCTTAAAATATTAAAAACCGCCATGCAACATCTACCACAGGGTAGTCAATGGCAGAAAGTAACATGGAATAATCAGTGGAAATAA